ACATATTTTGTACATTTCTTCTTCTACTATTTTACTTGTTTTTTTCTTTTATTTTTCTTTTTTTTTTATCAAAATTCTAAAAAAAATTTTTTTGTTGAGCTAATCAACATTAAAATAAAAATATCTTTAATGCTCTGGAACTGATTAGAGGGTTATTTTTTGAAGGAGAAAGATAAAAGGAAAAGAAAGATTATATCAAAAATAAATAAAAATATTTCCTTTTTCTTATCAGAAACTGATAAAAAAATAAATAAATAAATTCTTTTTGTTTGGGTTAATCTGTTTTTAAATATTATTCTAAATTTTGTTTAAAATTATTTTTAAAATTGGGAAAGATTATTTTTCATTATTCTTTCACTCTAATTAATCCCTCATCTTAACAAAATTAAAATTTAATTATTTTTAAAATTTTTTTTAAATTTTTGATTGATTTATTTAAAAAATTCCTAAAAACAAATTTTTGTTAAAAAGCGGTTTTTGTTGTTGTGAATAAGGAAGTTGGGAATAAAAAAAGAAGAATATTTTTTTATTTTTGGGAAAAACCTTTCTTCCCTCTCTCTTCCACATTCTTTCTCTAATAAAAAAACTTTAACAAAAATTCTTCCAAAAAACCGCAAAAATATTAAAAACCTGTTTTTATTTATATATTACCACAAATATAAATTAACTATTTTCCTTTACTAGCTAATTTTATTCCCAAAAAGATTCCTAGAAAATTACAAAAAATCTTCCCCCTTTTCCGATCATTCTTTTTCGTCCAAATATTTATAAAACACACCTGTGAATAGGAATTTAGATGGGGAAGTTAGGTAGGCTAATTTAAATTTTAAAGTTTAAAGTTTATGGAAGTTTTTTCTTGTTAATTCATATTGTTTTGTATATAATTTATATTGTTTATTTTTTTTTTGTTAAATTTGATGACAATTTTCTTTAAAATTAAAAATAAAAATTTTTAATATTTTAATAAAATTCTCAAAATATTTATATACCGTATTTCCTGAAATAGTACTCCCCCCTAAATTAGCACTCCCCCCTTAAATAGTACTCCCCTTTGGAGGAGGGTTGAAAAATAGTACTCCCCCCTGAATTAGTACTCCCCCTAAAATAGTACTCCCCCCAAAAATATTTTTCCTCTATACATATTTAAAAAAATAATACGAGACATTGAATTATTTTATTTATTCTAAGTATCGTTGTCGGTTTCACTTGATTCTTTGATAAACAAAACCTGAGAGCTTTCGGTTAACCGAAAACGAATCGAAATTTTAAACTAAAATTTTTCGAGGATTAAAGAGATATAATCCGATTAATTGGTGGAGTAAAAGTGGATTTTGGGTATATAAAGGGATTGATATCGGGTGTAAAATGGGTTCTGTATTAATCAAGTGGCATTTAAAAGACATCATTGGATTAAGGTTTGATATAGGAATTTGAGGGAATAATGAAGGGGGAGTAATATTAGGCGATTTTGGTTGATTAAGAGCGATTAAGCGATAAGTTGAATCATAAATCCTTCTTAATCAACTAATATCGGAAGTACAAAAGGGATGTGGAGGATATCGGTGTTTAATATGATAAATAACTAGACAGAGATTAGGTAATCCCTAGACACATGGGTTTAGTTGACCCTGATAAATCTTAGACCCGAAAATCCCCTTATATCCCTCGATATCACTCCAAATTCACTTATATCCTTTTTGATTTCCCTCAATAACCCGTATTTTAAGTCACTTGTGTTTAATTGTCTCGCAATTTGCTCAATTTTATACTAATTCGGATATTTTCTACAACTTTTATTAAAGAAATTTTTTGAAAATCAGGGTCCGGATCCGGCATTTTTCAAATAGCGAACTCTAATCGAATTTATTTTGAGATAAATTGAAATAAATTAAAATATTTTTTTTAATTTTGAAATAAATTTTCCTATGAAAAATCATGGAGGATGGTTGAAAAATAATACTCCCCCCTGAATTAGCACTCCCCCCTTAAATAGTACTCCCCTTTGGAGGAGGGTTGAAAAATAGTACTCCCGGGAGTACTATTTTAGGAAATACGGTATTTCTTCTCTTTCAAATATTTATTTTTATTTTAATTTTCTGGATGTCCTTGATTCCCTCTCTGTCATTAAAGTTTGACAAAAACAAAATATAAATTATATTCTTAAAAAAATATTTGGACTAGATTGAAGGTCGAAAAGAGGGGAAAATAAATAAATAAATAATTTAGTGACTGTCAATTATTTTTTTTATTTTCCGCATTCTCGCAATAATTCTTCTCTTTTTTTATTTTAAATATATAAACAATAATTAATCATTTATTCCTTCCGGCTTTTCTTTAATAATAAAAATATTTTTTTAAAGAATCTTTCAAAAATATCTTCTTTAATTAATTAATTAATTTTTACTTAAATTTCAAGTAAATTTTATTTTATTTTTTAAATAAATATTAATTTCATTAATATAATTACATATTTAACGTTTAATTATATTTTAAATAATTTATTAAATTTGCATGAATATCTACATTTTATTCATCGTTCCCTCCAATTCTTGTCGGTCATCCCATAAACTATAATTAATGTGTAAATTAATTTTTATAATTTTTATAAACCGCCGGAAATCTCACCTTTTTATCTCTTGGAAGGAACTTATTTTTTTATTTTTTATTTTCCATTTAGCACAAAATTTATTTTAAAATATTTACAATAAAATAAAATGCTGTCAATAAAAACTCTATTTTTATAATGAACATTTCTTCGATCCCTTCGAGTTCTTTATATCGAGATTCGAAGAATTACCTATATACTATTTAATTTCACATTTCTAACAACATAATAAATTTGATTTTTTTCTTTTTAACAAAAAATAAATTAAAAAATAAGAACATATTAAATACAACAATAAATATATTTATTTATTTATTTTTATTTTTTCAAAAAAATAAAATACAAAAGAAATCTAAAACAACCAATTTTCTTTTTATTATTGCCCAACAAATTTATTTTTCCCCTCTACACAAACAAATAAAAAACATTTTCTCGTCTTGCAATAAAATAAAAAATATTTTTTTGTATTTAGTTGTACCAGTCTATTTAAATAATTAATTAGAAAATTAAAAAATAAAAATATTTTTATTTATTTAAGAATATTCCTAAAAAATAGTTTTGATAATTTTCTTTATTTTATTAAATTTTTAAATTAAAAAAGAAATTTTAAAAAATATTTATTTTCTTTATTTAGAATTCTGAATCATTTTTGAAAATTCTAAAACTATAAAAATAAATTTTAAAAATCATTAAAAATTTTTTTATTTTTCTTTCTATTTATAGATTACTTACATAAGAAAATAAAAAAATTTTATTTAAAATTTTTATTTCAATTTATTTATTTAAATATATTTACAAAAGAATTTTAAAAATAAAAATTTTTTATTTAAATTGATTTAATTTTTGGCTTTTTTTTTATCAAATATCACAGTTTTATGATGATAATAAATAAATAAAAAAAGAAAAGTTTTGATTAAAATTTAAAAAAATTAAATTTTAAATATTTCTTTTTAAAATTTTCTTTTTTTATTTAAATAAATTACCCAAAAAATATTTTATTTAAAATTTTTTTACAAAAATACCTTTCCTATTTTTACTTCAAATGTTTTTTTGTCAAAAACTTTGAAAATATATCTAATTAAAGTGTTTTTTCTTTGTAAAATTATAAACCTGTTTAACTAAACTAAAAATTAATTTTTTTATTTTTTTTTTATTTTCATTTAAATTAAATTTCTATATCAGCGACGGGTCTTGGGTCTTTTGCTTATCTCTGGTATGTATAAACCAGCGTACGGACGATTCATGAAAAATAAAAATATCGGGTCGAAGTTCGGGGTTAATTGAAATTTCTTTTTCAGTCTAAAATTTTATGAAAAGTTTCCAAGCTTTTGGTTATTGGATAGTTAACCCTACTTTAAGGAAAAGGGGGATTTACCTGGCACAGCCAATTAAATATATCCTTTACACTATACCATTTTTTAATTTTTAAAGGTTTTTTTTAATTAAAAAATGTCAATTAAATCACCCTCCTCACCACAATTTCCGTTAAAAAAGTCCTGGAATGATAATAATCAAATTAATATAAATAATCAACAACAAGAAAATTTTTCTGCAATTTGGAGGCATTATGAAAGGCTAATTAATTATTTTAAATTGAAAATAATAAAATTATAAATTTTTAAAATTCTTATTATTTCCAATTTATATATTAACCTAAAAAAATCTTTTTTTAATCTCTCAATTTAAATTTTAAATTAATATAAAAATATTTATAGGCATATTCGACGATTAGAACGTTATAGAAAGGCTAGATCTTTTTGCTCTATTTCTGACGAAAGTAGTAGTAGTACAAATAGTGGAAATAATTTAAATAATTATAAACAACAATTAAATTATTTTTCTTCATCTTCTTCCTCAAAAATTAATTTAGAAAGCCAACAAAAAGTAATTGTTTAAATTAAGATTGCATTAAAAGAGGTCGATCTTATTCCCCCCCCCCCCATGGTCAATTTGCCGGAACCTACAACTCGGTCCAGAAGCATAAGTGGTACCTTTCGACTCAGCTCGAGGAGACGAATCGAATGACATATGTCTCGTCCCGAACTTTTACCACTAGTACACTACTTAATTTACAAACTTCTAAAAATACCGTAAAACTGTATTACAATGGCATCCTAATACAATGATTTCTGGTTATAGTGTTGAAAAATAGATTAAATATACAAAATATTTTTAAATTAATTGTATGTAGTTGATTTAGAAAATATTATGTAAAATTTAAATATATTTTTAAATATTATTTTTTCAGTTGAATGAAGGAAAGAATAAAAATTGTGAGGATATAAACATTACAATTTTAAATAAAAGTATTGACAACAACAATATTTATATAAATTCTAATCAAAACGATCAATTTAATAAAGATGAACAACAATTTGAAGATTTGAAGGAAAAAATGGTAAATTAAAATTATTTTTGTATAAAATATTTAAATTTATGTAGATGATGTTAGTTGAAAATGATATTGTACTTTTGGCTAAATTATTAAGGTAAAAGTATTAAAATTTTAAATAAATAATTAAATATTAAAGTCTTGGGGATACTTTAAATGAACTTAGACAATACCAACAACAACAACAAAAATATAATAATAATATTCCACCATCTTCATCTTTTAATAATTTATCAATAAAATTAGAAGAAAATAATGAAGATTTCGTTGATGAAAGTAAAGATGAATTTAAACCTTTAAACGAAGAAAATAAAAAACAAAAAATATTATTTTTAAATGTAAAACAACGAAAACAACAAAAACGTTATCCAATACCACCAGAATTTGGGGAAGGAATAACTAGAGTTTATGTTGAAGAAGAAGATGAAGAAGGGGAAAATAAAATTAAAAATAATGAAGAAAGGGAAGGGGAAGAAGAAGGGGAAGGAGAACATCCAAATATTCAATATTTTTCTCGGAAAAATTCGGTAACTTTTATTTTTTTTTAATTTTCTTTTAATTTTTATAGGTATTGAGAATACCCATTCCTCCAAGGTCAAGCAATCGAGCGTTTGCCTCCAGAACAAAGGTAATGCATTTTATAATTTTTAAAACAACTTTTGGTATACAAAATACTAGTATTTTGGTTATATCTTAAATTAATATGAAAATCCCTCCCCCTTTTTCGGCTTCATTAAATGTTTTATTTTCAAGCAAAATTTACTACCATCTACTTCTTCTAATCAAACATCAACAAAAATTATTAGCCACCAACAACAAAAATTTCCATCCCCTCAAATATCCCCAAAAGAAATAATTAAAGACTTTATTGAATCAACATTAGCCACAACAGAAATCGATTCTGGACATTCTTCTGCATCAGAACACCCCTCCCCTGCACCCCCTTTAATTAATACAAAAGAAGAAAAACAACAAAATTCTTCTAGATTTTCAACACTTTCCTCTTCTTGTCTTTCATCTGCTCCAAGTTCTTTATCTGGCTGTAGTTCTCGAAATATTTTTGATATTAATTCTAATTCTAATGGTTTTTAGAAAAATAATTTGTTAATATTTAATTATTTAATTTTTAGTTAAAAATAAACAAAAAAATACAGAAATTCAAAGGACGATGGGAAATAAAGATTTTATTAAAGACAAATAAATATTTAAATATATTTGCATTTATTTTCGTTTTTAATGTGAAATTAAATTTTTTTAATTTGTTATTTTAAAATTAGGTTGATAAGTTAAATTTTCATTACAGTATCATTCAAATTTAAAAGTCATCGAAACGCGTGCTGAAACGTCCTGCCACAAAATTAGCGATTTTATAAGACTCAAGTGACATTTTAAATTTGAAAAAATCTTGAAAAAAGGGGAATTTAGGAGAACAAGTATAAGGGTTGCTTTGGGCTGAATTTTAGGTTTAATTGGTTGATCTGGGTTTGGGTTCGGGTTTGTGTATGTCTTTCAGTATTTCAGAGCTTTCCAAAGTTTTTGCTTGAAGATTTTGGGAAGTACTTTCGATTTTTTGTTCAGTTTTCGTTTTCTTTTAGCTAAACCTTTAAAATTCAATATTGCTTATTTACTCTTTAAATGGTGAATACAAGTAAATTTAGCCGGGGACGTGGGCGTCTAATCTGCAGAGCACCCTCTAGAGAAGTTCAACAAGTATATGGACAATGTTTCTACCGGAGAGAAGAAGGACGTGACCAGACTTACCGAAAACCCAGTAGACCTTTAGTTCCGGAAAACAAATCAGAACTTGAAAAATGGGAACCACGGGTAAAAAATAAAAGTAAAATTAAATAGAAAAAATTATTTTCGAAGGTTATGAGCCCTGAAGGTATTGTTGACATTGCAAGACAATGTATCGAAGTGACCGACACATTCATAAGTTTGGACGTTTACTTGGACAGAAATAAACAATTTAATTCTTCTAATCTGGAACAACTTCGGGTTTGTTTTTACAAAATATTTTGTTAAATAAATTTTTTAGGAAAAACAAAGACGTCAAAATCCATTGAAAGACGTTAATCCTTCTAAATACATTGAATTAATTGCACAATGCGAGGCTAACCCAGGAAAGTTCCCTGGAACTTTATATTGTTTAAAGCTTGTATTTGGGGAAGCTCAACTTGATGAATTTGTACGAAACATTGGTTGGACAGAAGAACAATTGAGAGAATGGAACATCACGTGAGTGAAATTTTAATTTTATAAATAAAATCAGAAAAGGGGGTTTTGGAAAGTAGACAAAACTAAAAAGTAGGTGTCAAAAAAATAATGAACATTTTTGGTTTTCTTGCTAGTAATTCAGAGAAAATCTAAAAAAATAATTTCCTCCAAATTTAAAAAAAAGCTTTTTCTTTTTATAGAACAGATTGGGAAATGTACAATAAAAGATTAGATAGTAAGGCAGCAACAGATGAAACAAAAACCTCATCTTCATCGTTTAACCAACAATATGGGGCAGAAAGTAGTGGAGGGATTGCATTTTACTCTTATCAATAAAATGATTGGTGGTGATATATACAAAGAGGTTTTTTACAAAAAATATTTTTTTTTGATGACTGACGATTTTTGTTGTTTTTTTTTTGATTGTAGAAAGGTATTTTTAGTTTATAACTTTTTTTTAATAAAAATATATTTTTTTGAGAGAAAGAATTGCCATTTAAAAAAGGCTTGGAGGCTTTTAACAAAAACATTTTTTAGGGATATGCCCTTTTCCTTATTCTTTTTTCTGCTGAAAAAGCTGTCACGCGTCAAGAAATCAATAATTTTATTATTAAACTTTAAATATTTTTCACAAAATTTTAATTGAAATTTCCAAAATTTTTAAAAATATTTACGTCTAAAAAATTAAATAGTATATTTAAAATTAAGTTTATTTTGCTGGTAATTTAAAAGAATATTTTGAAAAATGATTTTCGGATTTGTTAAAACATGGAACGGGGTATTGTGAATTATAGGGGCAAGCGTCTCGCCAACGCCCATATATTTACGTTGTTTGTTTTTTTGTCATAACTTTGACCAAACTTGTTTCATTTGAGCTGATTTTGGTGTCATTCAACTCAGCTCGTCGAGCTCTCTCGAATGACACCTCAATCGACCAAATCGGTCCAGCCAACAAAACCCCCTATAAGTCACAACATTCCATGGAACCCTTATACGTACTATTAGTAATTAATTTGTAATTGAATAATTTTTTTAATTAAATAGGAGATTGGTATAAAAATAAATTTAAAAAAATTCTTTTAATTTAAAGAAAAAAAAGAAAAAATAAAGAAATAAGAAATGAATAATTGATACAGAAAAAAGGGAAAAATGTTGAGGGGAATTAACAATGGTTTCTGTTTGGAATTCTTTTTTCCTTTCTTAAAAACCTTCCTTCCCTTTCATTCCTCCCACGTTTTCCGTTTTTTTCTCTATCACAAAATTCCACGACTACATGATTTTCCTTTCATTCTTTAATGAAAAAAGGAGAAAATGAATATATGCAGCTGCGCTGGCCATTTTTGTTTGGCATCAGCGTGTAAAAATTGGCAAAAAAATTAAATGGAAAGGGAAGAAAATATAACAGAAAAAAGAGCTTTTCTTTTTATATATCTCCAGTATTTATTTCTTTTTTTTTTAAAGATATTCTATTTAGAAATGAAAAAATATTTTTGACCATAATTATTTTTATTTAAAATATTTTTTAAGTAATTAACACATAGAGAAACATTTTATTTTTTAATTACAAAAATGTTTTAGTCTCTTTTAATTAAAAACTTCCTTTCTTTATCTTTTTAAATACTCTTTACAATGTTTTTCCTAATTCTTAAACTTTATTTAAAATTTTTAAAAAATAAAATATTAAAAATTATTTTCAAAAAAAATCCTTAAATTTTATTATTCCAATCCAATTATTTCTGTGCCACAGCTGCTAGCTATTAAATTCAAAAAAGAATTTATCCAAAAATAATTTTTTATTTTTTTAAATAGTTTTTCCATTATTTCTTCTCAAAAGGAAAAGATTGTTGCTGAACGTAAGGGGGCTTCAGTGGGGAGTGGCCCCCATGCTGCTTCCATTATTGGAAGTGGTGGTGGTGGCACACCAACAAAAAGAAGGAGTGGAAGTGCCGGTAAACGCGACCATATCAAACAACAAAATTCTTTATTGGCCAAAGCTTTGGGTAATTCTACACCTCCACCAATTTTACAACAAAATTCCCGTCCACAAAGTGGAGGGGGAGGGGGAGAGTCTGTTGCGAGTGGAGGTATGGAAGGAATAAATGAAACGAGATTTTATTTTAAAGTTATTACTTCATTACCTAATACACCTCCCCCACCTATGTATTCTTCCTCTTTGGAAAAAATTGGGACACCAACAATTGAGAATGCTTCTCCAGTTGTTGCTGCCCCTTCATCTTCTTCAAGTTCTGAAGACCAACAAAAAGATTATTGGGTCGCTCTTTTTGGTAATTTTTTTAGTAAAGTTAAAAAAATTAAAAATAAAAAAGGTGCTGGAGGTGTTGGGAAATCTTCCTTAGTTCAAAGATTTATCAAAAATACATTTACCGATGTTTATTCCCCAACAATTGAAGATACATACCAACAAGTAATTTTTGGAGAAATTTAAGAAAAAAATTTTTTTTCTAGGTAATTAATTGTAGTGATCAAGGTAGATTAGCTGTTTGTACCCTTCATTTAGTTGATACAACTGGTTCTCATCAATTCCCAGCAATGCAAAGACTTGCAATGCAAAGAGTTTTTATTTAAAAATAAATTAATAAAAAAATAAATTTTAAAAGGGAAATGCTTTTATTCTCGTTTATTCAATTACTTCAAAACAAAGTTTAGAAGAACTTGGACCGATTGTTAGAACAATTAAAGAGGTGGATAATTACAAAATATCCGAAGGGAATAAAATGTTTATCGAGTTTAGATGAGAACTATTGTAGCTCTAAATAAGTTTGGAGGGGGTGAGGTACTTAATTTACAGTATAGTACTGCCACCTGAATAGTACTGCCCTTTAGGGGAGGATTGAAAAATAGTACTGCCGGCAGTACATACTATTTCAGGAATATGATATATTCATTATGATATTGAGAAACCAAACAGATTTAAAGGGATTAATTAAATAATTTTTAGACAAGAGGAAATGAGGCAATAATGGAAGTACCGATTGTTTTGGTTATTTATTTAGTTATTAAAAATTAAAAACAAAAATTTTCAAAGGTTGGTAATAAAATAGACGAGTCAACAAAAAGAGAAGTTAGTTTTGAAACAGGCGAAGCATTGGCACAAAGATGGGGATGTGGATTTGTTGAAACAAGTGCAAAATTGGGGCAAAATATAACTGAGTAAATATATTTTTGGAGGGGGAGGGGGGTTGGAGGGGAAGGGGGGGGGGGGAATGGAAAGGGATTTAAATATATATTTGGGGAATTATTTTTAATAAAAAAATTAAAAAAAAAAGATTATTTCAACGTTTACTTTCATTGGAAAAAAGAAGAAATTTAACATTAAATGCAACGGATTTAGTAAATGAAAAAGGAGGAGAAGGAGGAGGAATTAATAATTTAATAAATTCTTCTTCTAAACAAAAACGTTGTGCCATAATTTAAATTATATATAAATCAGGGCTGAGCGAAATCTAAAAATAAAATGTGAAATTCAGAATGCGAAACTTTTTGCGCTAAAAATGCGAAAAATGTGAAAGATGTGAAAAATGCGAAGTTCGCCCAGCCCTGATATAAATATTTACAGATATAGTCTATTTAATAAAAATAAACATTTTTTAACAATTTTTTGTTTATTTTTAAAATTATTTATTTATTTTAAACATTAAAATAATTAATTAATTAAATTTAAATTGTGTTTTGTTTTATAAAATATAAATTAATTTTATTTATTTTTTTGTTCTTTAATCTATTCTATATCCCTAAAATAAATATAAATATATTCTTGCAACAAATTAAAAGCTTCTTAAAAATATATCCATCCAACTGTTCACGTTAATACATATCAGATATTTTTTAATTTCTTTTCTCTTAAAAAATATTTATCAAAGCCTTAAGAATTTTAAATTTATATTTAATATTTTTTGAGAGAAAAAAATAAATTTTTGTTATAAAATTTAAAAAATAATTAAAAGGAAAACAAATAAATACCTACATATCTTTAAAATATCAGAACAAGAGATCTTTGATTTTAAATAACTTGCAAAGATCTTTATTTTTTTAATTCAAAAATTGATGTTTTTAAATAAATATATACCTATATGTATACCTAATTGACATTTTTTAAAATAATTTTTATTTTATTTTTGATCAACTCTCGTGACTAAATATACACAACCAGTCTGTGCTTGTCTCTCTCACTCTCGATTTTTTTTTAAATTTATTTTAATATTTATTTTCTTTTTATCTTTATTATTGAATATATTTAATTAAATATTTATTTATCATTTTTATCTTTTAATTTTTTGTTAATTAATTAATATTATGTACATAACTTTTTTACTTTTCTCTCTCCGAAATTTGTTTTTCTAATTTTCTTACAAAATATACAAAAATATTTTTTAAAAATCAATTTAACATTTACTTCCTTTAATTTCCTGGCCACAAAACTCTTAATTTAAATTGATTACCGAATGTTGTTTTTAAGTGAAGAGATTCACTTAAAAATGAAATTTTTATGGGTAACACCTAATTAAAAACTGTTGAAAGAGTGATTCATTGTTAGAACATTTAAAACGCTTAGGCAGGGATAAACGATCTAAAAGGATAAAAGAGTCGATGCCCGGTAGTTCAGTATTAGAGCTCTGTTTTCGGCAAATTTTTGCTTTTCGGAAATCTCGAAAAATCTCCAAATCTTTCAAAATTTTGCAATTATTTTAGATAATTTATTTATTTAAAAGTGCTCATCAACTTCATTAATGTCTACTTCTTCAGAAACTCATCAAAGAATACCTACAAAAATTTTATCAAAAATTAATTTTAATAATGAAAATAAAATTAACAATAAAGTTAGTATTTCTTCTCCCGTCTCAGATTCATCTTCTCCTTCAACAATAGATGGACTTACTACTTTATTTGATAATTATTCTTTAATTCCAAGAGAGCAATTAATTGTTAAAGAACAATTGGGGATCGGAACCTATGGTTATTTTTTGAGATTTAAAAAAATATAGGTTAAATATATAATGGATTGACTCTCTATATAATGGACAGGGAAGATCTAAACAGACACTCTGTGATTTAGACTTTCTCTTTAAAAAATTCCAGAAGTAAAAACTATTTTGATTTCTTAAAAAATTTCTTTTAAAAATCCAGTTTCGTTTGCTGATTCTAATAAAAAAATTAGCTAAGAATATCTGAATAATCAATGAAGACATGTAAAAGTATCTTATAATTAGAGTTCAATAGCTCTGAACTTGGTAGTTTTGATAAAACTAGATTTTTTTGAGTACCCGGACTTGTGCCGGATACATTAATTGTTGCTTGTTTATTTTTTAAATTTAAATTCTAGCTTTTTAGGTGCAGTTTTTAAAGGTCTTTGGGAACGTCCAGATGGGCGTACTTTATCTGTTGCAATGAAAAAAGTATTTATGCTTGAAAAAGAAGTAAAATAATTTAAATAAATTTAAGTATTTCCTTTTCAAGGTAGAAATACTTTCACAAATTAGACATAGAAATATTATTCAACTTTATGGCGTTAGTCAGGCAAATCCAGATTTTTATATTGTTACAGAATATGCTGAGTAAATAATTTTATTTTAAAAATATTTACACATTTACTAAAACCAATAAATATTTGAACCCCTGCCTTGCACTTAAGGGGAAATTCAGGTTCGATGCCTGGTGGGAGTTGGTAGACTGCTTTAGTGCACAAGTGTTTTTAATCTTAAATTTGAAACATTTAAGGTTAAAACCTTTAAATAATTTAAATATTGGATAAATAATTTATCTATATTGGATGCTCCTCAAAAGAAAATAAAAAAGGAGAGATAATTAGGACTACTGGTTTATAATTTAATAATAATAATTATTAAAGAATGGGCAGTTTATATGAACATTTACACAACACAAATGAATATTTAAGTGTTGAAAGAAGGATTAAATGGGCAAAACAGATAGCACGTGGAGTAGCTTATTTACATTATGATGCCCCAATAACGGTTATTCATCGTGATTTAAAATCAAAAAATGTGGTTATTGGCTGTTTGGGAAATAAAAATTCTCCTCAATGTAAAATTTGTGATTTTGGGACGTCAAAAGATTTAACAAGTTCGTGGACAGCGCCGAGTTGGGGTGGAACAGCTGCTTGGATGTCCCCAGAAATTATATCACAAAGAGAGGGAATTACTACAGCAACAGATGTTTGGTCTTTTGCTGTTGTTTTGTGGGAACTTTTTTCTAGACAAGTTCCGTATAATGGATTAACTGAATTTAAGTAAATAAAAATTAATTAAAAATAAAAATATATTTTCTAAAATAAATAAAGAATCTATTCAATAATTTCTCAACACGGCGTTAGACTTTGTATTCCTGATACTTGTCCAGAACCTTTAGCTGATTTACTTGAAAGATGTTGGAGACAATCACCCAAAGATAGACCTGAAATGCGCTATGGTTTGTTTTAAAAATTTAAAAAAATAAAAGGTAACCAAGATTATTGTTAGCTTGATTTTATTAAAATTTGTATAGTATATTTGTTATTCTCTTTAACAAGGAAAATTCTAAGAGGATTTAATTAAAAATATAGGTTAATATAGATTAATCTTTATATTCAAGAACAATAAAAAATTAAAAGTTCGGAAACATTCGCTTAAATTTGGGAGAGTTTTTTAAGGAGAAGGATTGTTTATGCATTAACACAAATATATTTTTAAAGTTCTTGGTGTTTTGGAAAGATTAAGTCAAGATAAAGATTTACGTGCAGAATGTGCTCAATTAATAGATCAAGTAAATGGAGAATGGAATGAAAGAATACAAGAACAATTAAATGAATTGGATAAATTAAAGTTAGATTTGGCTAGACAAATGGAGGATTTGAAAAGAAGAGAACAAGCATTACGTAAAAGAGAAAATAGCCATCGAAATTTTTTACATATGGTTGATATTTTGGTATTTAAATTTGTATATTTATAGAGAAAAGTATTGGAGAGGGGGGGGGCATTTTGGGGGGAGGAGGGGGGTGAAAGGGTATTGGAGGGGCGGAAGGGGATATGGTGAGGGGAAGGGGGCATTTTTGGGGGTATATGAGGGGAGAGGGGACGGGTATATGAGGATTAGAATTAAAAATTAAATTAATTAGAATGTCGAAAATGTTTGTGAATGGAATGAAGATTGTGTATGTGAATGGGTACAGAATATTGCTGCAGCAGCTTCTTCCGATTTTCCGGAATCTACTGTTGATAAAATAATTTCATCTGTTCTTCAATATGGAATTAATGGACCTAGATTGATGGAAATTACTGAAAAAGTTTATTTAAATTTATTTAAAATTTAAATAGAAAATATTTTTAATTTAAAATTATTTTTAATAATTGTTCGTAGTATTTGCAACTATTTAACAAAAAGATACCTTTAATATTAATTTAAATTTTTATTATTTTTTAAGTAACTATTATTTTTTAAGTAATACATACCTTCAAAAATAATTAAAATATTTTCAAAGGATTTGGAAAGTCTTGGTATTGAACCCGTAGCTATTAGACGTTATATTATATTAAAATTAGATGAATTAAGAGCAATGAATGTTCAATTATGTAATTATCCTTGTTCAATAGAATCCCCACAATTAAATTTAAATAATTCTGAACAAAAAAAGACTTGTTGTTCATGTAGTCCACAATCTTCATTAAACAAAATTGAATGGCAAAATAAAAATGAGGAAATAGAATGTTCTATACTTTTACATGTTGGCATGTATAGTAGAACATTAGAAATGGCAAAAACAAATAAAAACAGTACAATTAATGGGAAAGGAAATAATAATGAAATTTATAGATTTAAGGTAATTTAAGTTTAAAAATATTTAAAATTAAAATTAATTTTTTAAAAAATTGGCCGAGCTGAGTTTGAATATATATAATTTTTTCTAGTAGACAAAAACTCGTAGAGATACAGGCCCCCAAAGATTGAAAAACCATAGTGGGGAGTAATCTCAATTTTGGGGTGAAAAATTCGATTATACAAATGTCAGCTCATTCGATTGAGCTTAGTATCTCTGTCGATTTTTCGAATCTGGGTTCGGGTCCTAAATTAAGAAAATTTGATTAAAAATAAAATCTTTAATTTTTAACCACTTACTTTACAAATCTTTTTATTTTATAATTTTATTTTTATTTATTAAAGATTTTTTTGGATAGTGATTGGGAAATACAGCCACCTACAACAACAAATGATTTATTAAATAATCACGAATCAGCTACATTTATTAAAGAAGTTAAAATTTTAATGTATTCTGCTGACCGTTCCATATTTCTTGGTCCAATTCAATGTATTTGCCCGCCTTTTGGTTATTTAGAATGGGCACAAATTAGCCGTGATCAACAATATAAAAAACTGCCGTTAACACTTACTTTGACTGTTAGCTATACAGACCAAGTAATTTTTTA